GGCCGGCAGAGAGTGCCTAAGACTTCGCATTGTCCAAAGACCTACAAAAAAAACAGAGAAAACGGAGGTAGAAAGATGCACGAAGAACAAAACAAAAGATCAAAAAACAACAACACCAGGGATTCGCTGGTCGTCACCGACCCAACTACTGGTCTGGCCCTCACTGACTTATCTATGGGAGAGCGGACGGGATCCCGAGTTTTCCAGTGGGTATGGTCGTATGTGCTAGATGTGCCTTTTGCATTCGCCTATAAATCCATTTGTAGCGTTCCATTGATGGCCTCGTTAATAACATCCTTTGCTTGTAACCGGTCTCACACTCACGACTTTACGTAAACCATCTACCAAACGGACGGACGTTCGAAACAAAAGACGGCAACGAAAAGAAACTCGATTTAGGTATGTTAATAGAATCTGGATAACAGCTTTTTCACCTGTGACGCCTTTCAATTACGCAATCATATAAATGTCTTGTATCTGCTCATTTTGCTGAAAGTGGTTGTTGTTGTTGTTGTTGTTATTTTTTAACGTCTACTTCCGCCTCCCGTAGGGCATAAGACGTGCCGCACCGGTGAGTCTAGCATACAAAATTAAGAGCAAGGCTCTAGCTGTCCACCAAAAACCATTAATCCGAGGGCAAACCGAGGCCTATTGCCAGTGTAAATCATGTGTTGCCCATAGCGTAATTTGGTGAAAGTGAGTACTGGGTACAAAAGTTTTGTTTGAACTTGATGTTTCCGAAAGGTCCGTCGCCTACCATGTTCTCGGAAGGAAAGGCGCTCAACTCGGGAATGAAAGTCTGTGACACCACCCGGCCTCTTCCTTCCCTCGCCCTAAACTATTTACATCTTTTCCCCATTTGTACACCTGAATATTAACTTATTCAGATGGGAAAGTTTTGGTAAACGAAAAAAAAAAAAAAAAAGTTTGAACGCAGTTTTCCCTCTTCTCAAAGACGAAGCGAGCGATGTATGTACTAAGACATCACAGAGATTTGAACGCCGACACAAACGTAGTAGCTCGGCCAAATATTGTTGCACGCGCTGTTGATCTGCATGTTCCACGAACGAATCTTGGCCGAGGTGGTACCATACTTGCTGGCAATAACCTCGCAGGTGTCTCCGCTGGCAACTGTGTGAGAAGAAAGAAGAGTGAATTAGTATCGAGTCATATGTAGTAGAAGAAGATCGTGAACGGAAAGATAGGTAGGTAGGAAGGTAGGTAGGTAGGTAGGTAGGAAGGTAGGTAGGTAGGAAGGTAGGTAGGTAGGAAGGTAGGTCTCATGCCCTACGGGAGGCGGAAGTAGACGTTAAAAATAACAACAACAACAACAACAACAACAAGGTACGGAGTGGGTAAATTTCCAGGTTTTCTGTCATCTCTTCCACTCCGCTTCTTTTGGGATGCACGCGCTCTATGCTTCATTGTTTTTCTTTTTTTCTTTTTCTTTTTTTTTTTTTTTTTTTTTTTTTCTTTTGAAATCTTTCTTCGGTTTCAGTAATGCGGATATACTAATGTGTACTTGGAACCTACCTAGGTACACAGAGGTACCGTACGAAGAGTATTTAGTTGTACGCCAACCTGAGGATCTATCCGACACTCCCACCATTTGGTCATCTCGGGGATTTATCAAGATGGCCCGCAATTTGACTGAGGAAAATGAGCAACCAGCACAATGGTATCACAAACAGCTCGTTTTTTGACCATCTATGAATCCAGACATTACCTACACTCGGGACTATTCCATGGCCATCCTATGTTCAGACCTCCGACGCTGGCAATTGGCTCTAGAATGCAACATCGACGACCTTAACAATATCCCCCGGAATCCTCTCACGGATAGAGTCCGTAACCTTCCACGCTTCGATAATTTCGGGCAGAACCTTCCGCTACTGTTAGGTTTTGGTTTCGTGGGGTTTATTTACGGCGGACTCCATTGTGTTGCGTGGAATGCACCCTTTGCATCCAAACTCGAGCGGACTCTGTGAAGGTTATCAAGCGTTGTTATAACAGCCACTGGACTTGTGGCTGCCCTGTTACTGATATGGACAAAATCTACGCCATTTCTGTATCCGGGAAGAGAGTTTTCTAAGAGATTTTGGGATACTACAGATCCCATCTGTGGCTTCTTCAATCTCGCAGGGGAAAATTTGGATCGCTGCCTGGACTTGGTAACAAAGCAACTGGAAGCCATGGAAAGGGAATGCCAAGCCAAACGTAAAGAAAGCGGAGAAGGACACCGAAGCGAAGAACACCGAAACGAAGAAGAACATCAAAGCGAGACGACACCGAGGGATGAAATGATCAAACTAACAAAGTACAGGGCGGCTATGTTTCATACGGCTGAATTATTCTATATTTTGGCTGCGCTCTCTATTTACCTCCTGCATTTCCTGACGAAGGCCTCCCTCGACATCTCCATAGCCTCATGCTGCATTCTCTACGTCCTGGCTCGGCTCTACCTGGTTGTCATATCCTTCATCAACCTCGCATTTCTGCCTGACTCGGCATACACCCTGGTACAATGGGCCCGATACGTTCCGCACATTGGCTAGCTCCTAAGGACAGCTGGAACGAATGGAACATGGATGATGATGATGATGATGATGATGGAAGGCGGTTCAACATGGCGTCGCAAACACAAGGAGTCATGTGGATAGGTAGGTAGATGCACAGCTTTAGGAAACAGCGTGTTTGGGGCTCAGCGCCGAGCCAGGAGAAGAGGCGCACGTTTGCATGTAGCTCGTATGGCGCTTCCGTCCTTGTTAGAGGCAGATATCATGCTCGTTCTTTCGTTCTCACCCTCCGAGATTTCGGTTTCAATGGTTCTAGGAGTCTCGGAACTTCGGATCGTGACTCGAGCGCTCGTTACTTCCCCACCAAGAAGTCGGAGAATGAGTCAAAAGAAGATTCATTTGTTGGTCACTGGGACTAATTTTACTTCGTTCACTGCAGGTTTCTTTTTCTCTTTTATGGGATAAATCTGGGTGGTGCCTGGTGCACCTTGTTGGTTTTGGACGGTTGCAAAATCTCCAATTGAGACATGTTATGAAATCTGATAGCGTCCTATCGTAAACAAAGTCTATTTTGCAGACGAACTGATAGTGCAGTAACAACAGCCTTTTCAACTCTTTTGTTTTGGCGGGTGAAAACAGAGATCGTAAGCAAACTACTCCCTCGAAATGTTGGAGAACAAAAAAGAAACTTATCCAAAAGCACGGACGTAGCCAATTGACAAGTTTCTTAAAAGAATCATTCATCATTGCCCTGGGTCTATCCATTACTTCCATTGGTACCTACAGAGGCTCGGAAGTTAGAAGATACCTAATGTACAAAATACACCGAAGTCCCCCAAGCCAGGACAGCTCTTTCCTCTACCATAGGTACGGCTATGTTCGGTCGACCTCGCGGCACAGCACAGGAATGAACGGAATGACTCTTCCTGGACTCGATGCTGCGCCTCACTCAGTTTCACGCAGTCGAGGGAAGGAATTGCCATGAGAAAACTCTGGGAAGCTGCTGATTCGGTTCCGAGCTGCCCAGCTGCCCAGCTGCCCAGCTGTCCACTCAGCTATCCAGCATACCGTGGCAAAGCTCAAGGAAGGACCGGAGGGCAATGGCAAAAAAAGGCCTTTACGAAGAACGACACCTACCTAGGTACATACTGCGTATCTGCATTCTTCCACCCGCACCTACTGGTACTCGTTGGGTAGCAAGACAAGGAAGGATATCACGATCACATCAAGCGGTAACGGAACAATATGTTATGATGATGCATTCAAGTGGTATGGTATTAACGATTGATCTAAAATATTGCAGCGCTTTTCGGATATCTCCTCCAGTGTTTTTTTCGTTCTCGGTCTCGGTGCTTGGTGCTTGGGGTATGGTAACTCATGCTTTTGGTCATGTCATGCAATCTTCATTATGATGCAAAAACTTCCACCACACGCTTAGCAATCCGCAAAACCCGCCCGCTGTCCATGGCCCATGTAAAAAGCAAGATTTGACAAGGAAAATGGTATGTACTGCTGGTGCTGATGGTATCCGAAAATCCAAAGCCCAGTATGTGAATCCGAAGTTGGTTCCTTCCTCCTTTCTCGGTTTTCCGCTATCCTCCTCTCCCACCCCACTTTTGTAGATGTTATCTTCTCTTTTCGTTTCTGTTTGTGATCAACTCCCATCTGAATCATCCCCTTCATCCCCTTCCCGTCTAATTAACAACCCCTCCCTCTCCTTCTCTCTCTCGTCAGTATCAGTATTATGGTCATTATCAGGGGACATCGTTCTCTAAACAATATCCCTCTGACTAACCATACTGACTCTCCCCGAGCTCAACCCACTCGGCCCCGCAGTGGCACTCCCACTACCACCACCCATTGTAGTAACCGTCAACCGCGACAACTCCCTCGCATGCTGCGGCCGGTTCTTGCTCAACCTCCTGCTCGGCCTCGACTGCCCCTGATGACTGCTATTCCGACTTGTCGAGTTCTCCACGCGATACTCATCCCACGCCTCGCTACCGCCGTAGATGACCGTGCTCTCGCCATCGTACTCGCCCGTCTGCGTGCCCTGGACCGAGTTCCTCATAGACCTAACCTCGCTTCTGCGCACTAAAGCGCGACGACGCATCAGACCGGGGTCCCGACGCATCTTGGCCATGTGCCATTGCACCCAGTACATCTGCTCGTGCTCGCGCAGGTATCTTTCACCATGGAAGCCCTTGAGGACGACTTCGCGTGTGAGCATGCCGAGCTTGCGACGGGCGTCCGTCTTCTCGTGCATGCGCTTAGTGAGAAAGGCGACGTCGGTAGGTGTGAGAGTGTCGGGGAGCATGAGAGAGGGGAGGACAGAGCCACGCTTGTCGACGTCGCCGGCGAACTTGGCCCAGGGACCGGCCATGGCGAGCATGGAGATCTGGGCGCGCGCGAGACCGACGGGGTCATTGGGCGGGACGACTTCGCCGTAGGCGACGGACGGGTTGTCAGGGTCGGTGAGGACGAGAGCGGTGGCGCCGACGGCGGTGGCGACGACGGGGACACCGGCTAGAGCGGCTTCACCGACGGCGAGCGGGAGACCTTCGGAGAGAGAAGAGTTCATGAAGAGCCAGGCGTCCTTGAGAATCTCCTGGGGCTTGCCGAAGCCCTTGAGAATGACGTGCTCGGTGAGCTTGCAGCCTTCGATCAGCTTGGTCATGTTAATGGCGTACTCGGGCTCGCGGTCCTTGGCGCCGTAGATGAAGAGGCGGTACTCCTTGAAGCCGTACTGGTTGACGATAACATCGGCTGCGCGGATGGCAGTGCGGATGTCCTTGATGAACTGCACGTTGGACAACATGACGACGGTGGGCGTAGTGGTGCGGACTTCATCAACAGGCTTGAACGCATCCATGTTGCTGACGCCGTTGACGATGGGATCTATCTTGCGAGCGAACTTCTTTTCGTGGCCGATGCGGTTGGTGTCCGTGCCGAGCGAGGTCTCCCAGATGGGGTTGAAGAAGGACGTGCAAGGCAGGATGACATCGGCGTGGAAGTACGCCAGCTTCATGGCCAGACCGATACCAGCGAGAACCATGGACTGGACGGGAATGGGCAGGGTCGACTGAGCAGGGCTGAGGTTGAGGCAGCACTCACGCCAGAGAATGGCGTGATCCCAGATACCGAAGGTGGCACCGCGTTGGTACTTGAGGAAAACACCGAACATGGAGCTGATACCGTGGTGCGTGCTCTGGAAGACCCTGGGGCAGTCCTCTGGGGTCTGGACAGCGTAGATGAAGAAGTACGACGAGAAGATGGCAAGCGAATCGCGGAAGTCCGACATGGTAGGCTGCTGAATAGCGAGGTTCTCCTCGGGATCAGCGATATCCGGATCGTCGTACTTGATGAGCCAGGCCTCAGCCCAAGCGGCAGCGACCTCCTTGGAGTTCCAGGTCTTGTTGTAGTCCTTGTGCTCGAAGTACTGAAACATGTCGAGGATGGCGTTGCTGTAGCGGTACATATCAGCCTTCGAGATGTGGCGCGAGCGAGCACCCTTGACGAAGAGACGGAGCAGCGGGATAAAGGTGTCGACGACGTCACGATCAATGTCAGTGCGGACAATCTTATCTTCGACCTGCATCTCGAGGAGGTTCTCGATGAGACCATGGTTGGGAACACGGCCATCGAGACCCCAGAGAGGAACGACCTTGAGCGACTGAACATTGCGTTCAACCTGGAAGCGAGGAATACCGTACTCGTTGGCAGACTCAGCCAAGACGTGGTTGCGAATGGTAGTATGACCGTTGACAAGATCACGACGGCAGTTAGAAACACCACCGGGAGACTCAGGCCAGCATCCAATGTCGTTGAAGATGACCGAAATACGGTTCTCCGAGTCGCTGAAGCAGTCCTGGGGCCTGGTGGTGATCTGGTTGGCATCCTTGCCGAGACCCATGGCGTACAAGTCGGCAGTCTTGATCGGCAACATGCAGAGCTCACCAACGTGCTTCTCGATCTCGATGGCAGCGGAAATCTGGTCAATATCGGCGTCGAGGATCATGCGGGCCTGAGAGAGCTGACCGCTGTTTCTAGCAGACCAGTACCGGCGGAGAAGAGGCTCCTCGCGGAGAATGAGCTCGTCCATCCAGCAGGAAGTAACAGCGTCGAGAGTGCCGGACTTGCGCCAGATGTCCCAGAGCTCAGTACGCAACCACCAGGTGGGAACAGGGCGATAGATGGACTTCTTGCGCATAGAAAACCAGGACATGGGGTTGAGGCGAGAGGCGAATGAGTGAGTCTGCTTGAGGTTCTTGGCCATGCGCTCAACGGAAGACCGGCGGTGGTAGATGAAGAGATCGTCATCCTCGAAGGAGACATCAGTAGGCCTCTGCAGAAGAACGTCCTCGTGTTCAAAGATGCGGGGCGGGCGGTCGACGGTGATCTGTCTGCCGTTCTCCTCCATGTAAGTGGTCTCAACGGGGTCGCGGCGATGGGGGTAGGTGATGACGGTGGTGAAGGTTCTGCCGTAGGTGCTGCGGTCGACCTGGCCGACGCGATTGGAAGGAGTCCAGTTGCACTCCTCGACCTTGTCCTTGGGAGGAGTACCCCAGTAGACAGTCAAGACGAAGGGATGGTCGGCCTTCAGCTCGTACTCAGCCTTGAGCACATCCTGAGAGCCCTTAGGACTAGACTTGTAGAAGTAGCGGAAGGAGTACTCGACGTCGCCGAACTTGATGATACCGTGAGATATGCGACGTCTATCATCGTAATGGCAGCGTTTGACCGTGGTGCCATCGACGACGTACTTCTCAGTCGGGCGTCTAGACTTGTTGCCCTCACCGTAGGTGAACGACGAGAGAATCTCGTCCTTGCCCTTCTTGACGGACTTGGTAATGAGACGGTAGGTGTGATCATAGACAGCAGTAGCAACAGGCTGGGTCTTCTCCTCCGGAGCCTCCTTGAGATGGCCGTCATAGATGTTCAGCATCAGCTTGCCGTACTCGTTCAACTTGGCGAAGCCAGTAAGAGCCCTTCTACGCATGACAACGACGATGCGGTTCTTGTACAGGGTCCTGGGCGTTCCCTTGCGAGCCAAGCGCCAGATCTGCACGAGAGCCTTGTGATGGAAGATGAGAATCATAAAGATCCAGGCATCGCGGATCTGGACGCACAACTGCCAGATACCAAGGATGAGCCACATGAGGAGCTTGCGAATGCGAGGCATCTTGCGGAGGGAGTACCACAGCTCGCGCTCAACGTTGGAACCGGCGCCCGAGATGATGGCAACCCACTTGACGAAGTTGATGGGCACGTAGAAGAGAATCTTGTGTGTCCAGTGCAGATGCTTGCCCTTCTTTCCATTGTCCATGAGAGGTGACGTCTCTTGGCTCTCGGCGTCAGGTTCAGGCAAGTAGCAGAGCGTGTCGGTGGAGGTGTTGAAGGCAGAGTTGTACATCATGACACGCTCGCCAGCCATCAGGTAGAGTTCGAGGCAGAGCTTGACGTGGAAGTTGCTGCACCGGAGATCGACGCCCTTCTCCTCCATCCAAGTGGGGAAGCTGCGAGACTGCGAGGCAGACATACCCTGGATACGGGAGAGGATGGTCTCCTGGACGGGACGAGGAAGGGAAACCCACTCGGAGTCGATGCTGGTCTCGAGGCACAGATGCTTCATCAGCTCCTGGTTGGTCTGCTCGCGGATCCTGTAAAGACCTTGTCTGTCCTCAGTAGCAAGCTGGAAGGCGATTCTCTTGGAGACGGTGAAGGAACGGTCAGCACCGGAGAGGATGTGTTCAGCCTGAACGGCCTTCGCAGGATCCAAACCGATGATGCCGCGGGCAGTGTGGTAGAGGATAGCTTCGCCAATCATGCAAGCGAGAAGAGGCTGCCAGGTGGATAAGTTGGCTTCCTCCTCGGGAAGGAAACCAGTCGTGATGTGCAGCTCATCGTCCTTGAGCTCGCTGAAAGAGACGCATTCGCTAAGTCCGGCATCCAAGAAAGTGCCGCGAGGGCAGACAGTGACGCGAATCTTCTCGTCCAACCACATGGCCAGGGCAGTGTTGAGGACGTCTTCCCTCCAGGAAACCGTCTCCGAGTTCCCGGGGAAGTTGCTCTGACCATCGCGAAGAGTTTCGGAGACCGAGCGAGCCAAAGGCGTCTCCTGCTTGGCAAGAAGCAAATCTCCAGGAAGGTCCTTGATCTGAACGGGCTTTCTGCCAGTGAACGAATTGTCCGAGTGGCCGATCTTGTGCTGCTTCCAGGTGTTGGGCTTGTCGCCATTGGCACCGTCCTCCTTGAGATCCATCTGCTTGGGCTTCCTGATGGCCCAGTACGAGGTAGACACGGCAGCGAAGACGGAAGCGACGCAGAGGCCGATCACGTCAACGGAGGCAATCTTGCCCTCGGGCATTAGGTAGAGCAGGCAGCCAACGGTGAAGCCGATGACGGCTGAGACGAGGATGGAGAGAACGTGGGCGCGGACGCTGGTGGTAAAGCAGCGGTTGAACTGGAAGATCATAACTCCAGTGTAACCGAGGCAGTACAGGTAGTAGAGCCCCAGGATTTGGGACTCTTCAACGAACAACCATACCAGGATGGTGGTCAAGCCAAAGGTGGCCAAGAGCCTGGTGGCGAGGGTGAGGATCGCGCCGATGTACCTGTTTCGGCGACTCTGTTGCCACTTCTGCCTGAGGGCGAACAGCTCGGCGTCGCTGGAGAGGATGCCCTTGGGAAGATCGTAGCTGAACTGCCAGTACTTCTTGAGGGTGATGTCGAGGACCATGATCGACAGACAGAAGTAAAGGATGGCAAAGCAAATGGCGTAGCGCGAAGTAAAGGTGGAGAACACGTTCCCATTACCGCTGCCAGACATGATGATGCTGACCCATCGATCCATCAAGCAGACGAGGAAAAGGCCAATGTTCTGACCGATATCATAGCGAGCCTGGCGGAAGAGGAAGAAGACGCTGTGCTCCTTGAGACCCTGGGACATCTGGAGACGCTTCTTCTGGGCCTCGGTGAGCTGGGCAAACCAAGGAGGCGAGAAGACATCGACAACCTCCTCGGGAGGACCGTCCATGCGAAGGATCCAGTTAATGTAGGGCAAACCTTCAACAACCTTGTGGACCAAAGCATCAGGTGCAGTTCCAAAAACGCGGCCTTGCTGCTTCTTGACAGCATCGCGGAAAGCCTGAAGAGCAAGCTTCTTGTTCTCGTCCGCGTTCGGTTTCTCGCTAGGGCTCGTGACCGAGTTCTGGCTCACACGGTGCTCATACCAGGAGTGGATGTCAGCCTCGGTGAACTTGGGAATGTTGGTGAGCCAGCCCATCCACTCGTGGCACAACTTGCGGTACTGGAAGATGAGCAACAGAAGGAAGCCGTATGCGACAGACAAGTAAATCGCGATGTCCTTGCCGTGGACGAAGGATGAAAGGACAGGCGAGATTAGAAGCACCGGAAGGGTTCTCCAGAGAACGCTGCGGCCCGAAGTCAAGGGGCTTCCCTCCTGGTGCATGGTAGCCATGATACCAAGGACGTTGAGGTAGGTTGCGAGAAGCACGAGATATCCGAAGAAGACGAGACCCGCGTAGACTGAAGTCTTGACGGTGAAGACGATGAAGCCAACCAGGCCAACCAACAAGGTCAACACGAAGCCACCGGAGAGGCGCTGAGCATGGAAGAAGACCATGTTGGTGTACGCAAAATTGCAGAGGTAGTAGTTGCCAATACTGCCAACCCAGCCGGTGACACCAGCAGAGATAAGCAGAGCGATCAAAAGACCGTAGCAAGCAGCAAGGAGGTTGTCCTCACCCATGTAGGCGGTCATGAACAGACCACGACCGACAAAGGTGAGCAGGATAATATCCAGGATAGCGGGCATGCAGAAGATAGACAGGGCGCCAAAGTCAGCGAGCTTCTCACGGAAGTAGCTCAGCTTCATGCGGTCCCGGAATCCACGGCGAGCTGGGTCCTCGTACTCGTTGCCGGGCTCTCTCTCGGAAGGCTTAGGCTTGGCATACACAGTCATGTGGCCATTGCGGTCGCCATCATCCGCAGGAGTAGGAGGCGGGTTCTTGTGGAGGTAGGCGCTGTACTGGTCGTAGATGATCTTGCCAAGGGCACGAGGATGCATGCCAAAGAAGGCCTCGCACTGGGAACCGAGCACCCAGAGTTCAGCGAAAACAGCTGCTTGATCAGCCTGAGAGAAAAGGGGGCAGTGGTCCGTGGCCTCGAGGTAAACATCCTCCAGAGCAAGCTTGCGAACAGTGGTGAAGAACATGAGAGCGATCAAATCGGTGTTGACATCAACGAACTTGTTGTCGTGGTACTGGTTCATGGGATCCAGAGCATAGGTAAGGGGGTTCCTGATCGCGTTGAGCGCATCAACATTGCCAGCGTAGAGGGATTGGCGGACACTCTGCTCAATTCTTTCAGCAACAGCCACGAGGCCATCAGCGGAAGGAAGGAGAGTGGCACCCTGGCGCGCGAACTCAGTCAGTCTCCGCTCGAGCAGGTCCCTCATAGAGACCTTGCCCTCAAGGTAAAGGCGGCAGTGAGCGTCGTTCCAGGCAATGGTAGAAGACTCGTCTAGGAGAACAGCTCTGCAGTAGGCCTCCATGACGATGCGGAAGGGATGTGTCAAGCGGCTGACTTGCAGCTGCTGCAAGAAGAAGAGAACCTCAGAAGGAGAGCACATGTTGATGGCAGTCTGGATGCTGGTAGGGAGAGGCAGATCGGAGCCCATGTTGTTCTCCAGACGCAGCTCCTCCTCGTACCTGTCCACGCGGGCAACGCCATTGTGAGCCAGCCAGACATGGAGAATGGTTGCTACATCACTGGGGTTGCTGCGAGAAATGAAGATATCGACATCGCCATCCTCCGAGCGAGGGACCGAAATACCCCAGAAGTGAGCCTCACCATCGGGAACCTTGAAGCCAGTATCGAGGCCCTTGTAGACGCAAACCCTGCCCTCAACGAGGCCCTCAACAAGAGGAGTGAACAGATGCGGATGCGCGGTCTCCTGCTGGAAGTTGCGATAAGCCATGACAAGCTTATCGACCTCGGCAGGACGCAGCCTTTGCAGCATGTTCAGATCGCGCAGATGGGTCTGCGTCGCCAAGATAGCCTCGAACTGCATGTCGGTTGCCGACGCAGTGAGTGGAATGCATCCCAAGGCTGAGAGCGCCTCGCCTCTGTGGTCGCACTCCCAGAACTCGTCCCTTGCAGGCGCCACCTCGCGATAAGGGGGTGGGAACGAGAGCTCTGGTTCGTCGGACCACCACTCCTGCTTTTCTGTGGTTTGCTCAACGGGCTGCAACAGCTTCTTGACGTCAGGAACGATTGACGCGATTCTATCAACGTCAAGTCTCGAAGTCTGGTCAATAAGCTCATTGTCGTCGCCCACATAAACCTTCTTCTTTTGCTGCAACCACGCAGTTTGAAGCTGTAACACTACGGTTAGCACCCATTTTGTAGCATATCGATTGCACTCGTATTGTGGCAACTTACATCAGAAGTCTCGGGCTTTCTCAGATACTCAAAGCCGCTCACAGGAGGCTGGGTCATCTTCAGACCACTCGCCACATGCTTAGGGCCATGCTGATAAACAGCCTCGAAATGGCTCGCAACCTTCTCACCTCTGCACGCAACAGCCACGGAAGGCTGCTGTTCCCAGAGATCGTGAAAGGCCACAAAGAAGTGTGGGCGCTCAATCCTCTCCTTGGCACACTTGTTCATGAGCTCCCTCAACTTCTCCGAGCGGAAGTAATCCCGCCTATCGCCATTGGGCAGGATACAGGCATTCTCAACGATGATACCCACCAGGCCTGAGAAGTCAATGTTATTAACAAACTCGGTCTCCTCCTCAAGCCCGAGGTTAAGGACGATCGGCACCGCCCGCTGGTGAAGCCGGGCAAACAGACTCGCCGCCGTCTCCTCATCCTCCTTGGCGAGGTCCGCTACCTTCAAGACAACCCCGGAAACGTCATCACTTAGGATGAAGTCGGAAATGTGCGTCTCCCACGCCGGAAGATCGGCAGGGGAAATGTCCTTAGCGTCAACCAACCCAAGCCGAACAATGTCCTGGGTTGGGGTAGCTTCAAGGGGTTGGAAAGGGGTAGGGTCCGTGCACGACGGTAATGGACTGATGTAAACAGTGCCCCCTACCAATTGCTGGGTGGCGACGCTACCATCGTCTAATACACCGCCATCCAAGAACTGGAAGGTCTTGGTTGAGGACGGGATCTTGAACTCTGGCCGCGTTGGCGGTGAGCCAGGGGTCTTCCTTCCGGAAGGTGATTTTCGTTTTCTCCTATAGTGGATGTCAATATCATGGGCAATATCAAGAATAGGATAGCATGGGTGATGGGAAATAGGAGAAGACGGGAGGTTGAGACACGGGTGAACTTACTTGGTGTAACTGTCTGATATTGACTGACGCAGACGATGGTATATTGTTAGGATGACCGATAGTAGGACGGGAAGAGCCAACCCTACGATTCCCACTATCAAGGTGCCCCACTGCCATGAGGTTCGTAACCTCTCTTCTGAAGACAGGATCTTGTTGCAGTAAACCTGATGGCTGGTGTCGTTATCGCTGTTGCATATCTGCAGTACTGGGTCCCCGGCCCCGGGGGGTGGAAAGAAGGAAGCCATTGCCAGTCAATGGCGAATGCCCAGTGACGGCAGCAACGGCTATGTGAAACTGATGGAAGACGTAAGGTGTAAAGGACTGGCCAGGTGGAATCCTAGGCAAAGAACATGTGTGGATGTCGAAACAGCAAAGTCCCCGCTGATGGAACCGATTAGGATTAACGATTATGGGATGGCGCTCTGTTGCGATGGACGGTGATGTGTACAGTAAAAAGCTAAGGAGTGATCATCGCCACGAGGACATACTATTGAAACGAGAGACGTGCTGAAAGAGAGCAGATGGACCAAGAATAAGATCCAGATAGAAGATAGGAAGGGTCCCGACTGCAAGTGATGCTTTGGTGTGAAGCGATGGAAGGGGAGAGGAAGCCCTATGTTCGAGACGGTTGTTACACTGGACAAGAACGTTTTCAAAGCCTCTCAAAGTGAAGTTGGAAAACCGGGGCGTCCAGGTCGGTCTCGAGTTCAAGCGGCACCGGGCGGCGGCCACCTCCATGTCGCCATGCCCGACCCACACCAAACAGGGCGAGGTGACAAAAATTGCCAAAATGAAAGGCTGAGGAACGAGGTCGACAGCGAGGCATGGTACCGTATCACCGGCTGGTACGAAACGAACCTCGTACGCGATCATACCCCGGGGGTGAGCCATCCGCCGAACCGGGTGCTCGGCTGGAAAAGAACAGTCGAATGCTTGGGAGAAGAGGCGAACCATCATGCACTTGCGGTTGCAAAGTGGTCGATCCAGGGATGGCCATGGGGCCGATCTTGACGCCCCGGGCGTACCACAGCGTTTGCTCAACCGCTTTCCGTTTCGATCTAGGAATTTCCAGTAATATTCCCAATTTGGTACCGTGTAGGCGCTGGTCATCGGTTTCTTTTTTACGAAGAAGGATAACTAGTACCCGATTCGTGTTTGGATCCTACGCGCCGGGGCCACGGCTTGTCACCTCGTGAGCGCCTCATTCGTTGTCTGTCAGAAAGCTTCGTCCACCCTGCGGATCGCACCATATGTTTCTGGGCGCTTTAGCGAGTGCTTGGCTGCTCAAGCTCTCTTGGGCGTCTTGGACAATCTGAGCCTCCCGATGCCTCTTGGCCCGTCTCCTTTTTCCTATTTCAGGTCGTTTCCCATCCACCTAGCGGCTTGTGCGAGTCTCGAATTCTGCTAATATGTCGATGTGCAGTCTATCGTGGTACTGAAGGCGCAGGTGTAATTTGACGTCTGGCACAAAGAGACTTGGCAACAGAAATGGACGCGGCGAGAGAACAGTTCCTGAATCGGTGGCTCAAGCCGCTCCCACTGCTGTCGGATGCTGGCAGTCTCTGTCTCAGGTGCCAGAGGTGCCTCCCCGCGGCCCCTGTCACGGCAGGGGGCCATGTTCTCGATTCCACGATTCCACGAATCCAAGAATAGGCGAATCTTGGCGCGGTGTAATATTGTGGTGCGCTTGGTTGTTCGGAAGCCAAAACGAGCGAACGAGCCGCATGTCGTAGCGGTACGTGTACACGTGTACAAGGTTGTCCGACCGGCGGCCGTGTATCGTCGTACCGAGCATGGTAAATACGGGAGTTTCTCCACAGTTCCGAACACTGCAGGGGCCTTCGGCAACAGTGGGGAGACTCACAACAGCTCAGCTGGGGTGCGCTTTGCCCTGCTAAACCCGCCGGGGATATGGTGTTTGTAAACGTAATGTAAATGTAAGTGTAAAAACACAACTGCAAGGAAACCGCAAGATCTGATTATCACCCTTGTGTACCTTCTGAGACCTTTTAGTATGGGATCCATGACGGCGTTTATTACCTTTGGACATTGTGGTAGCAAGCGAATCTCCATGTGCCCCAGTCGGTTAGCCGCTTGTATCAGCGGTAAGGTTTCTGGTTCTTGGGTCCAAAAATTGTTAGAAGCAGAGGAAGCCTAGCATTCGGATGAGTGATGCTGCTATCCAAGTGTGTCAGTGATAATGGAACATCAAATTTCAACAAGGCCGCACTATCGACTGAGATGATATGATCGCAGTGTGAGTCGGAGCGATGCCATGACCAGACAGGGCCAGAATGCTGCACAAAAGTTTTTGGCATCGTCACGGTCGGTACAAGGGGTACAGGGGCCACGCCGCGACCCTTCATGTTGCCTTGACATCGACGTGGGTGGCTGGCCAGGATCCGAAGAGGGTGAGAAGGGTGGTAGGGTGGCCCTGGACTCCCGGAGAGGTGTGTGTGGTGGGTGGTAAAAACAACCCAACCCACACTGAAAGAGGCTTCGCGTAGAAATCCCAATGACAGCAGGAATCTGAAGAAAATCTTGACGGAAAAAAAAAAAAAAAAAAACCCACACTGAATTCATGCAGTCAGAAAGCAGCCAAGCTGTGCCCTATGGCTAACAAGGGCCAAGTTGTCGTCCTAGCCGTGATCCCGGTAAACGATCCCCCGCCACCTCCGCCGCCAGAAAGACGCCACGGACAGCCATTCGACCGTCGATACGGTTACAGTGGAGAATCGAGAGCCAGGGCCTGTCATTGGTCGTTCAACCTCAATTGCTTGAGACTCCTCTCGATGTACCTCCTTTGGCTGTCTTCCATGCGGCGTCTTGGTGGTGAGATGAGAGATGCAACTTCCGATGCTGGCGTTGTTGCTTTTTTGTCAAATAGTGGCTCGCTTGTTGCATGCTCTGCAACTGTATCCCATTTCCAAATTTAAAACCCAGTCAGATCCAATCCGGTTACACAGTAGGACTGCCTGTACCAAGGTGAGCAGCACATTGGCCAACTTGCCGGCACCGCAGTCGATCACCACGGACAAGAACACCGGCCCGCTTCGTGTTCGGTAGGTCTCAGTTGCCAAACAAGGCGCAAATAGCCGTGAGGAATGGATTTGCGAGATCACTACAGCAAGAACCAGTTTCAGGTGAGTAAAGTTTTCTGTTTTCCTGGTTTTCCCGTTCCGAGTTCCGTGTTGAGAGCCAGGTCTGGCGGGTTTCGGGAAGTGTACTGTATGTGAGGGTAAGGTGGTCTTTGAGACCCAATGTCTTGAAATCTGTGATAATGGCTACAAGAGCAGGCTCTGATTCGACCGCATCTTGTCCTGCTGGTTGCCTCGGTAGGCCAGTGAGCCAAGAAAGAAGCATGGAAAGCCACAAAGCCAAGAGAGAGCCTCATTTTGTTTTCTGGAGGATGAAAGGTTGATGTTCCTGTTGGTCTCACTGTTCGGGACTGCTGGTGCTGGTGCCTGGCATGAGAATAGGGGTGTCGGGGCTTTGCTGCAGATTCTGGAACCTCACAATTGTTCGACAGTATGAGTTTGCTGTGCCTGTGCCTGTCTGTGGTGTGCCCCCGTATGAGATGATTCCCCCGAGATACCGACTTGCCCACCCCCATGCACCGTCAAATTCTATTAGCGTCTGGGCTCATCTATCCAGCTTATTCATCGGCTGAATTGCTCGTAGTGGCAGCCTGTAGCGTAGCACATTGGCTATGCACAACGCAGGCGTCAAAGTGGGACGTGGGACCGGAAACGGCTGGTGACAATAGTCTCGTTACAACGGATTTGATGCCATTCATTCCTTCGATTTCCTCACTTGCATAGCGCCAACAATGGTCTAGGTGATGTCAGCCAGTGCGGATTGGCTGCCCTGGAGCTGGAATCGGAGCATGGCGGCTTCGTAGTAGCTAGGAGGCATAGCTGGATGGAGCAAAGGTAAGCCGAGACTCCTGTAGGGAAAGAGCCTGCAGCACTGGGTGTCTAGAAAAATACCCATCCGGCTGTGATCCGGCGGAGCCCAGAGGAGTCTACAGGTCAGAGATTTGCTTCAGCTGGTCCAAGGGGTCTCTGATGGATGGCATGTCGAGCAGCTGTTGCCATTCGGGCTAGGTTTAATACGGTCTCGCCGAACGAAAATGGATTGGCTTCATGACGAGAGCATGACAGGCATCGAGGAACATGGAGCCACGATGCGCCAGCACAGGCGCGCTGGCATAATCTCAGCTTGACACTCGCCGCTCTCCCGCCGGTTTGTGGGATGTAACCATATCGGTCGGTCGGGCCTTCTAGCGCTGGCTGTTTGTTTGGTGTTGATGACAAGGTTTTGCTGACTGGGGAAGGATGTTGCCATCTTCCTTTTTATTGCGCTTTCATCAACTTAGGCCCTCCCTGATAAAAGCCCTCGACACAGCTCCTCCAAAAAAGGCCAGTGATCGTCTCCATCCTTGCCTCACACTCGCTCATACATCCTACACTGCGAGTCTTCTCAATAAGCTCTTGTTCAGATTCATCATGTCGAGCACTTCGAGTTCCCGCTTTGATCTTGGGGATCACGTCCAAGATCAGGACCTCTCCGAGGAGTATCTGACTTCATCTTCCCGCGACTATTCGGCCGGCAGCTCACCGCTTACCACGCCTGCGCTCTCCGATAATGAATTCGACTTTGACGTGCCATCCGAAGATGCCCTCTTGGAGCAGAGCTCGACAACACAGGCGCCGGCTGATGGTTCGGAGAAGTACATTATGGTGATTGGCGGTCTTGGATATATCGGCTCCCACACCACACTCGAGTTGCTTCGTGAAGGACACAATGGTGAGTGGTGATAATGGCGGCATCGAGTGGATCTAGCCCCTTATGAAAGCGAGTACACTAACGACAAGCATACAGTTATCGTGGTGGACAACCTGAGCAACAGCTACAAGACCGTTCTCAAGAACGTCAAGATGCTGGCGGCCCATCACTGCAAGGTCAACAACGTTTCCATGCCCCGTCTTCGCTTCTTCCGCATCGACTACCGCAGCAAGGCGATGCATGTTCTCCTGGAGAGATACAGCAAACTGGTGATGACGGTGGACGCTACGTCGGGGAAGCAGGTTGTGTCGTACCAGTCCCAGATTGCGGGGGTAATCCACTTTGCGGCATACAAGTCGGTCGTCGAGAGCATCCAGCAGCCCCTTCGCTATTATCGCAACAACGTGTGCGGACTGGTCAACCTGCTACAGGAGCTGGAGCGTTTCAACATCCGCAACTTTATCTTTAGCAGCTCGGCCACCGTGTACGGATCCAAGGCCAACGCCGGCTTGCCGCTCAAGGAGGAGGATCTCGTACACCACCAGGTCAAGACACAGAACGAGGCCGGGGAGACGACCATTGTTGAGCCGACCATTGAGGGTTTGTCGTGCCCGTATGCGCGCACCAAATTCTTTGGAGAAGCGATCTTGGCGGATGTTGCCGAGGCGGACCCTGATTGGCGAATTGTTGCGCTCCGTTACTTTAACCCCGTCGGATGCGACCCTTCTGGTGTATTGGGCGAAAGCCCGCGCGGAGAGCCGACCAACCTCTTCCCAGTACTGACGCAAGTCCTTAAGGGTGACCGTCCCGAACTCAGTGTATTCGGATCTGACTGGCCAACTCGTGACGGTACTGCGATTCGCGACTTTATCCACGTTCTCGATGTTGCCCGTGGACACATTGCGGCGCTCAACTGGAACTCGAAGAAGGGCAACGGGTTCTCGACCTTCAACCTGGGAAGCGGTACGGGCACAACAGTTCTTGAAGCTGTTCGCAGCTTGGAGCAGGCGGCTGGTCGCGAGATCCCCCTCGCTCTCGTCGACAGACGGCCTGGCGATGTCGGCTCGTGTGTCGCTTCGACGGATCGTGCGACCAAGGAGCTCGGGTGGACGACTCGCGAGAGCATCACCAAGTGCGCTGCTGACCTATGGAACTACGTGTCCAAGGTGGCGTTGAGGTCGTGACGGGCGTCATGATGTTGATCCCTCCTCCCGTTTCCCATCCTTCTCTTCTAATGATTCTCCGTTTGTGGTCGATGATATCCCCAGCGCAACAGCGAAGCGAAGCGAATCGTTGGCGTGTTTCTTGTTGTTTTGTTTCTCTCTCGACTGTTTGTCTGGGTCTGGCTTTTTGGATGGGAAAATATCTGGTTGGCATTGTTGCTGGGTTGTTTCTGTTTTTGGTGTTATTCGCTCCCGGGGTACACATGGGTACATTGAACAAAAGGGTCGCAGGTTGCAGGGGTTAATTTTGTTCTATCTGTTCTGGTTTTTGTTGTTGCCGTTTCAGTTGTAGACTGTAGATACTTGGTTTGCTGACGATAGTTGACGACGGATTGACTTTGGAAAGAATTGAAGTCTGCGAGAAAACTTTTCACTGAGCTCCCCTCTGCTCTTGCCATTCTCCAATTTCCAGTTTCGGCAATGTCGTGTTGTTGGCGCCTGCCCTACTGGTAATAATTGTCCGGACACGATATTCATTAACAAGCCGTGGTGTTGAGGGCGCACACGACTGTTAATGCCTCGTTGCCCCTCATTTGTAACGATTGTCTTAACAGTTCTGGTCTTCGGTATCTCAGAATTGTGTTAGGAACATTCCTTGGTGTTATAGTGCAGGGCTTCCGTAGCCTCAATTACCCCGCGCAAATACCCCTATTGCCCCAAGACGTGTAAGTCAAGGCATGTGTGTGCACCTTGATGGCCACACAAAGTCAACAGCGAGTTGAACAAGCCACACACTTGCACATGACCAAGTGAATCCTCCAAGCCCACCGTTCACGTTGCTGACGGGTGATGGCCAGGGCATGAAGAACAGATGTTGTACTACGGAAACATGTCATCTTGAGCTTCTATACATCTGGTGCTTACACTGGGTGCACTGCGGCTAGCCGACAACAAAAGATCGCAATGTATCTCTGTTCATGAAGATACGGTAATGTGGTTGTCTGCATTTTGTTTACTTTGCTGAATTGAACAAGCTTCTCCAAATCTGTATGTCCAACCTGAACTCCAACTTCCAGTTGACATGATGTCTGTTCTCCAACTTTGACGTAGACATGTCACAATGCTCTACCAATTAATATACCTAGAAGCCCACTGTACACTAACCAAAAGCCCGATCCCATCAACCCAGAAATTGCATTATCCCATAACGTATCGACATTCCGTCACTTCGTCAAAACAGAGTTACATCGCACTCTAAAATCAGCACGCCTACCCCACGATTGTTAGTGTTTTTCCGGTCATTTGAGATCATCCAATGTCGGGCCAGGCAGAATGAGGCTTACCTTCTGAGACGGCTTTGGGCATCCCTCTCGGACTCCAAGTAGGCAGCGACTGTTGCGGCGGCCTTGCATTCGCACATCTGGTGGGATGGAAAAAGTCAACCTCAACATACCCCATTCTAGGCAAGTAGTATCGTCAAATTTGGGGGAGGAACTTACGGCCTTCTTGTTCAGGAAAGAAGGGCAGGTCGATGGCAAGCTCTTGCACGGCTTGCGGAAGTCGGGCCGTACTCCATGGGCGTGCGTGTGCTTTCCCTTTCCTTTGCCCTTGGAGTTGCCCTTGGAGTTGCCCTTTCTAGCCCGACTCTCGAGGGGAAGGATGTGGCCAGCACCGGGGGCAAGAGCAGAGCCCAAGTCAGAGGAAAGAGCGTCTCTGGGCACCAAGAGGGCAGTGGACTGCAGAGCAAAAGCGGCAAGAACAACGGACAAGGAGAACTTCATCTTGGGCAAGTGTGTGTCTGTGTGTTTGCGTCTGCGTCTGGCTGTGTCTGATGTGCTTGATCTTTGGACCGTGTCGGTGTGTGTCTGCTACTACTAATCTTCAACAGGAACTCTCAAACCCCCCAAATTTCGAGGCGGGATGCCGCCATCTATGTTCTAATGTCATCCCACTATGGCACCAACCAACCTTTCTCCTACACTGCCTTTCAGCCAGACCGACTTCTCCGAATACTCCATATACCTACTGGAGTACGTACACCTTTATTTCCGTGAGCAGGGGTGCGGCCTCGAGTTAGACGAGTCAGCCCTAGCACGTACTCCGGGCTGCTGCTGCTGCTGCTGCTGCTGCTGTTGTTCTTGTTGTTGCTGTGTCGGCCGGACCACATCCCCGGATGCCTACCACCATTTCGACACTCTGGGTTCTTCAGCTGTAGGCGACACCGACTATTGAACGAGAACGCCTATCGGAGCAGTCTAGCTTCTGGAGTCGAGCAAGAATACAGTACGTCGAAGAATTCGTCACCTCCTCCGAACAAGCATCCCCAGACCGTCGCAAGCTCCAAAACCCAGACACTCATCGGCGAGCCATATCGCCAGCCCCAGCTAGCGTGACAGCGCAAATCTGACGGCATCAAAGAGGCACATAAGGGAGGCCAGGGGGGGTACACGAAAACATATTGTACAAACGTATCGATGGTTTTCGATGCGGTGGTGCGGTCTCGATGGTGATGGTGCCCACACAAAGGACCACAGAGCAACGCCCATGTTCGGAGAACCCACGCGGAGCCTCGCCAGCCAGTACCGGACCACTAGCACGAAATTTCAATACAATTACGAGATGGGTGACCGTCATGAGTTGACTTTTCCGGACAGGGCTGAAGTCAACCACCGGGCGGGCAGCGTGGGCGGCGTGGGTTGTCAATCGGGATTGCGGCGCTACTATTGGGACGACCGCATGCTGTAGTGAGAGAATAGCACGTCTTGATATAGGACAGGGCCGGCTTACAGGGCATCCCATTCACCATTCACAGCGCTGGTCTGCACTGAATCACACAAATCCCACGCGTCCTTTCTCTGTGGCCTGGTCACTTCTAGACGCAGTGCAGACTCGTTCGTTATGCGCAGACAGCTCGTCACAGACATTGGGCCTGACAGGCAATTGCCAAGTTCCAGCTCTGCTTCCACTTGTCGCCATCGGGTTTTCTTTCTGGGCTTTCGGGTTTTTGTCCAACGTGTCACAACACACACGAAGCTCGTAAAGACTTTTTTGTACGACAACCATGATCGCGACAGCCGACGTCCACTCACAGTTGGTTGCTGACTGATGTCAAAACGATGTCGTCGAGAGGGATCATGAGAGGCTCTGTGAGCTCAGCTGGCCACAATGTCGCGGTGGAGGCAGCACGGGAGCGGGCCGGCAACGCCCACCACGACACCAGGCACCAGGAGCACGCAACAGGCCGTGGCGCACCACAGGGCACGCAAGGGCAGAGAAGAGCATCAGGCACTTTCCCCGTTGGCCGCAGCCACACTGACATCCCGAGACACGCACATTTGTGGAAGTTGGGTTGGGTGGCAGAGGTGGTAGAGGTGGTGTCCGTGTGGTCGAGCGTCACGGAGGTGGCTGATGAGATGGAGGTCGTCTTCTCTATCTCATTGCCCAGTGCCCTCCTCTCACCTCCGGTGCCTTGACGGCCCCTCTCAGTCCCGTCTGGCTACATAAGGTACCTTCTACCTGCGTTACAGCATGAGGTTGGGTCTGGTGGGTGTATCGGGTCGAGCACGCGTTTCCAGCCAGCCACAAAAACACCACAACTCACCACAAGACACCATGATTCACCTCGACTTCACCATTCTGGCAACCCGGCAACGCTAAATTCAGGTTTTTGCATTGAAAAACGAAAATGGTTCCTCTCGCATTTCCTTTTTTTGGTCCACGACCGCATACGAGCATATTGCGACGTACCCCATACGGGATAGACGCCGTGCAACACGCCTCCGAAGCCACACATGAGATCGGTGTGCCAAATGCCCTGAAATGCACCCAACCCATCCCACCCAATGGCCTGTGGTGGCCTTGTGGCAGGACTGTATCAACGCAGCTTACGGGGGAGGGAGGCATGAATATACGCTGCACGATACAGCGGACAGCACATTCAGCACTAACAATTTGCATTGTGCCATTGTGCCATGTTCTGTGATTATTTCCTGATTTTCAACCATTGATCACAGTGCTATTTGGCGGCATGTCAGAACAACATGCTCTCGCCAAGACCTCACTTCCAATCTATCTTAATATAGAGTCGCCATGCGCTTTTTGCACGCCGGTAGTTGTTTTCGTACGCCCTGGGTTCAACCGCACGCGACGGCTGCCAATACCAGAAACCAGAAGGACGGTTCATCCGGCTCAGTTTACCCGGTTTACGAGCTTGTCAGGCATGCCTACATGGCCATACACGTCGTACAGAGATATCTGCGGAGCGAGCTGTCTAAAGTCTGACAGGTTGACACACGGACAGAAAAAATCGGACGAGACATGGAGACAACCACCGCAAAGAAAGAGAGGAATCATCGTCAGCACGCTCGGAAGAACATTCTAACAGCGCCATCATCGCCCCACTGTTCTAGCGAACACAGTAAGACCTAACGGCGTGCTGGAACTCGCTACCAAAGGATCAAGATAGGTCCTTTTCTGGATAGATACTCTGTTTTCTGTCTATTCCGGTTATCCCACTATACGCCTTACGGCGTGTCTATGTCGTTTATCTACACCTGGGAGGTACGACGACACAAACTCCGATCCAGCCATGAAGCCCTCTCTCGATGGCCTCACCCATTAACATGTTGCTGCCGCCAAGTCACACGCCACTTCCACATAGGCTTCCCAACCCGAGCACCACGTTGCATAGTCAGTAGCAGACGTGGCAAAGTGTCCGGCAAGTTTATGCTGTGTGACAACCTCGTTCAGGAAGTGCTGTACATTCTTCTTGATGGCATCTTCTTCCCTGTTTTCGGCTCTCTCTCCGTCGGTGTGATGGCCCTCTGAATCTTGCTGCTGGGGTCGGCCGCCACTGTCACCCGCCTGACTTTTAGGGCCACAGCCGCAAGTGTGAGCTACAGCTATCGCTTTGGCTCGCTTCTCAGGAGTCAAGAGAGCGAGGTTAGCGCTGACATAGTCACCCGAGTCCCACCAGGCGGCGAGGCAGTTCTCGAACACCACCACGTAATCAACCAGGCGGGAGGAGAAGAAAGCGTCGGACGAGTCGGCCGCCGGGAAGATGCCTGGGTTGTGGTCACGATTCCTGGTGTTGTTGATGATGCTGACGATGATGATAGTGCTGACAAAGAACTGTCGTCGTCGTTGTTGGTGTTGCTCTCGTCGTTGCAAGAGCTCCGGCGAGATGCAACCTCAGCAAAGCCGGATCGTACAGTGTCCGTTATGCTCTGGAGGTAGTCGAGATACTTGGCGTCTGTTGGGACTTCGTCGACAAAGATGCCGTCCAAGCGGATTGCCTGTTTGTTTCAAACACAAGGTCAGCTTTACAATACGGTACAGGTGGTAAGTATAGTAACTTGTGGTACGACTGATACACAAAGCGGAAGTGTGACAAAACACACAAATGTGGGCCCGTGCACTGCACAATGTCTCGTATCGATCGCCAGGGCTGGGTCCTTAAGACCCCTTGCCCCCGGCTGGGCCCTGTCATTTGCTCGGCGTAAGCAAGGAACAGGGGCCCCAACAGACGGACTTTTTGAGATCCTCCCGCCAGGATCTCCGTGAGGCGAACCGGGACAGAGCGGAGTTCTCAAAATTTCCAAAAGCAAATCTGGGCTTTGGAAAATCTCGGTTGCTTTCCGCCGAGACACTGACCGCTACGCTTCGGAAGGACCCCTCCACACAAGGCCGAAACTCGCTGGAGAAGTGGAAGCTGGCCGGCTGGAGAAGCTGAAGGATGGAGAAAAGCAAGTGTGGCTCTGTCTCCGGAAAATGTCCAGAATGGAGCATGGTTCAAGGGCTTTTGCTCGGAACAACAGCGCACAAAGCGAAAACGAAGAGGGGTCCGCCAGGAGCTCAGCAACCTTTCAGCGGAAGCTCCAGTTGACAGTTCCTCCGATCTTGAATCATGGAAGTGGAGGAGGCCTCATTCGGAATAAAGGTGGAGGCCAAGCTTTTCTCAAGAAAGTGAAAGCCGGACAAGATGGGATGAACTGGAGGGATGTTCCAGACAGAGACGTCCCGTCAGAGCAGTTTTGGGTCCCTGGTCGGCTTACGGTAGGCTTCGGTTCTTGTCCAAAATTTTGTTATAGGGACCCTGCACTGCCCATCCTGCTGCTGTCAAAACTGCCTGACTGGGGGAGCTGGGAGTCTGCCTGTGTGTTTTTCAGCGAGCAAAATTTGCTAACCCTGAAGACAGTGATGGAAGAGTGACGGATGTCCAATTTCCCGGGACATCTGTTCCCTGAATCTTTGCCAGAAGAGGAGCAGCGCGCAGACTTTTTCGGCTGAACAGGTCAACAGGCGAACGATTCGGAGACAACCCTGATTGCTGATCGCTGGCACGGCGCGACGCACAGCTTCGGGTTACCCGACCCTCCGGATGGTTTTGGTTCCGAGAAATCGTTCTCGGCGAGCGGGTCACGGGCTCCCGGCGGGTACGGGTCGGGGTTGTTTGCTGTCTTGTTGTCGTTGTTGTTGTCGTCGACGACGGACGGGCTCCACCGCCAAGGACCAAACCAAGCCAATCAAAAAAATGGTCGAAGCGGAAGAGCAGCCAACCGAACCCAAGAGCCGGGGACATCCTCGGTACCGCTGATCATAGCAGTTCCAGGCTCAAAGTGCGGCACGTCTGAACCCCGGCCTCGGGGGACAAGCCGCGGAACAACAAACATGGGTATCCAAGCGCCGGCGATCATAAGAGCCCACTGGTATCAGTGATCAGCGGCTCAGCGGGCGGGCGCTGCGAGAATGGTTCCTTGCCGGACTGAACTGCGCTGGATTGGCCGCTGGTTGGAAGGTTTGGAGTAGAGCTTGCAACGTTGCTAGGGCACCGTGGGTTGCTGGCAGTGGCAGTGATTGATGGTTGGTTTGCTAGTGATTGCTAGTGATGGGCGATGCGATGCCCGATGCGATGCTAGTAATCGTGATGATGACGATGATGGCGATGGTGCTGGTGATCCTCGGGCATGATGGTGATGCTCATGGCGCTGGAAATCGCATCTCGATCGCCCCAGTTTGAGTTTGAGTTTTGAGTCCGGTTCGAAACTTCGCCGAAGCTTTCGACCCGAGATCGACAAACATGATCCAACCCAGCCCAGGTGCAAAGGAAAAAAAAAACAGGGCAAAAAAGGGAAGACAGAGGCGAAAGAAAACACACACAAAAATAGAATGAAATCACACACAAAAACTTACCCATTCACCCCTCTCATCATCAGCAAAATCCAACCACGCCAAATAATCTCCAACATCCTTCTCTATCTCCCCCAACTCCCTCTCACCATAACCGCAATGCACGTACCCAATAACCTTCACATTGTTGTAAGAAGAAAGCCGTGACAGAGCCGCGCGGTAATCGGCGTTCGGGATTGGGTAGTCCGGCCCCGGTCCGTTGCCGGGGTTGATGACCACCAGAAACTCCAAGGACGGGTTCCGTTCCAAGGCGCTGGTGAGGGCGGAAAAGAGCGGGGACCAGCCGAGGCCGGATTGGGAGGGGTAGATGTAGAGGGGGACGAGGATTGTGGACATTTTTGCTGTAGGTGTTGATGACTGGTGTTGGGAACTTGGAACTTGGAAAGCTCGTATTGCTGAGGCCTGAGGGGCGTTGATGACCGAAGTGAATCGTGAACGTTGACTGGTGAGTGGTCGGTGAATGAGTGGTGACTTGACTGGTTGTGATGAAGTACCGAGGTGAGTGGTGAGTTGAAGTTCCGAGGAAAGGTTCCGAGTAAAGGTACCAGCGATGCACCCGACGCTCGACGCAATACGGGATACGGGATACGGGATACGGGATACGGGATACGGGAGTACGGGAGTACGGGAGTACGGGAGTAAGGAACGGAGGTAGTTCCGGTGAAAGTCTCCGATAACAGAAATGCAGTCTATCGATTGTATCAGCAATGTAGATGCGTGTCGATGCGTGTCGAAGGCAGTTGTCGGCAAACAACGGGATTGATCGCAACTTATGATGTCAAAGATGCAGAAAAATTTGAAGTAAGGAATGCTGAAGAATATTTATTGGCGTTGCAAGCGAACTTTTTACGAACTTTTTAAAGCAACCCGACCCGACGTCGTGGTCATGATAAGATACGATGATTGCGGCGAAGGACAAGGACGGTGGGCAGTGGTACGACGGAGCGGCGGCCAAGGAATGGTGATGATCTGCGTAGCTACTACAGATACGGGGTTTTGCTGGCGACTGGATTACTGGGCACAGGCTGGGCCTTACTGGGCGAGCTGGGCTCATCAGTGAGGTGGGCTGTGTAGGCGTGATGTGCTAATGTGCTGGGCCGCTGGCGCTGGCGCTGGGCAAGGTGTGTGATGTGGATGTCGGTCGGGTGTGATGTGGTGATCAACAACACCACGATACTACGAGAACACGATACCACATGTGATTATCGTGACTTGACAGGAACTAAATAAACATCGGATGAGGTACAGCATACTTGGGTTGTAAAGCACCATGTGCAGGTACTTGAGGTACAGCGAGGATACATGATGCAGAGTACTGCTAACAATAAACACCGACAACAACAACAACAACAACAACAACAACAACACCAGCGGAAAACAAAACAAAGGGAAATTCTAGTGCGACTGCTTTTATTCAACACAAACGCCCGCCAAAGATACTAATAGAATACAGGTAGATAGTAAAAGGTAAGATAAGGTAAGGTAAGGTAGCGGTTAGTTATCCAAGAATCCAAGAATCCGAATCTGTGTCTCCAAGACATCATTTACTCAATCAAGTCCATCAATCACTCATCATCATCATCGCCCGAATCCTCATCACTATCAGGTGTAGAAGCGACCTTGGTTTCAGCGACCTTTCCATCGCAGAACTCCACCCAGCCATCGAGATCCATGCCCTTGAGCACGGTACTGAACTTATCCGCGCCCTCGGCGCTGCACGCCTTCTCGCTATCCTTGGGCTTGATGCTCTTGGGCGCGCCGCTGGGGTACTCGATGTGGAACACGGGCTTTCCCGCCGCGGTGAACTTTTCAAACACGTCGCATTCGCTGTACTGGGCGCACTGCTCGTTGACGGAGAACTGGACCACGTCGAGCACCTTGTCGATGATGCCGCCGGCGTTCTTGAGACCCATGGCCAGGCCGCGCTTGGCCGACTCCTTGCCGAGGAACCGGACAAAGTCAATGGTGTCCTGCTCGGTGAGGCCCACGCCGTTCTCGTTCTGGTAGCCGTCTACGTTGTCCGGGTCGACGGCGTCGCACTTCATGGCGGCCGCGATGTCCAGGCGCTTGATCATGATGTTGCGGACAGAGGTGCGGCGGATGTCCAGCCACTTCTCCTTGGGCCAGCCGTCCATCACCTTGCCCAGGTCGGCGTCGACAAAATCGCCGGCGTCGGGCGTGTAGGGCTCGTAGGAGCCAGCAGAGAAGTAGCAGATGGCGCGCTTGCCGAGCGAGTGCAGGTTCTCGATGACCTTGGTGTCGCGGTGGAGGAACATGTCAAAGTCCCAGACGGGCACGTCGGGGGTTAGGGTCACCGAGGTCTTGGCGTTGGCGGCGGGCACGTCGAGCTTCGAGTTGAGGATGATCTGCCACTTGGTGCCGACGGCGGGCTGCCAGACGGTGCCGTTGGGGGTCACGGGCGACTCGGTGGGGCTCGGGGGGGAAGGCTCGTTGTCGCCGTCGCCACCATCGCCGGAGTCATCACGGCCGTCGTGATCTTTCAGGCCGAGACCCAGGCCGAGACCGAGGGCCAAACCGAGTACGAGGACGACGGCGGCGGCGATGGAGATGAAGAGGATCTTGCGGGATCGGCGCCGGGGTTGTGGGGCACCTCCCGACTTGAAGCCGGCTTCCTCGACCGACCGGTCGGACTTGGGCGTGTCCGCCATTGTGTGTTTAGGATCGGGGATCGAGATGGAACCGGGAATTGCTGACCGGCAAAGGTGAGTGGTCGGTAAGAATAGTGCTGTGCGCTGCGCTGTCTGTGATGTGCGCTATGCAGCAGCAGCAGCAGCAAATGGTATACAGTACAGTATAAGTGAAGTGTGTAAGTGCGTGCAGCCAAAGACGCGGAACGCGAACACGGAAAAGACAGGCGCGCAGAGTATTAGGATGGATACGAAGTGAAATGAGAAGCGGGAAAGGGCAAAAAAAGGGCAAAGATTGACGAGAAATGGGCAGAAACTCGGCTATTCGGAACGGGGCAGGCAAGAACCTAGGCCAGGAGCGGTTCTCAGCGATCGATCCGGCGGTGTCGTGCTGTTGTGTGACCGTCGAACAACACCTGACAAACACCAGGAAATAATGTCCGAGACGACGGGAAGGTTGAGGTGGTGGTGAATGATGGGATAGGAATGAATCAACGGATTGGAGATCTTTCAGTGGATATGTATGTTGGTGCAACACCCAACTCGTGACAGAGTCTGTTGGCCAAAGGAGCATGCAAAGCGGTGAGTTTGACCAATACGCGGCAGACTCGACGGCCGGCGGTGGAAATAAAGGGACTGCACAAACACTGGCTTGTCAACGAGTCTCTGATGGTCTCGTCCACTCTGCGACCTGTGGCGCCTACGACTTTTGTTTGGTTGTCAACGCAGCTTGTCCAAAAGGCTTGTCTCAGAGCCGAGAACGCATCCGCCTCGTCCAAGTTGCTTGACTACCACCTCACTGCCACGGCCCAATGCAACACCGCAACACCTAGTGAAATGAATGTTATGTCAAAGACAATGGTCTAGGGGTTGTGATGCATAGAACTTGAAAAGCGGCAGTGTTGTTGTTGCTCTTGATGTTGGTGATACTGATGAAAATAGCGGGAACAAAGAACAATGAAAAAAAGATTGGCCAACTCATCACCCGTTCAGAGACGCCGCGTCTCCATATCGCCTTAGTATCCCCTCTTGTGTGTCTCCGTATTTTCCGTATTCAGCTCACCACTTTGCTTGGCTGCCGCCGACGAGGTGGAGGAGGAGGAGCGAAGGTGAGAATTCCACTGAGAAAGAAAGACTGGAAAAGAGCGACCCGGCCTCGAACCCGAGCGAGAAGCGAGCAAGACCGGGACCGGGGACACGGTGGCACACAGACACACACAGACATTCGTCTGAAATGATGGGATGACAGGGGACCACTCCGCTGTGAGTCCAGGCCAGTGTGCAGGCAGGCGCAGTCTTTTGTCGCTGGCTCGCTGCAGTCTCTGACTCTGCTCCTGCAGTCTGGGCACTTTCCATGCAGTGCTCGCTCTTGCAGCTTTTAGTGCAACAACAAGGACTCCTGCGTGCTTGGCATTCCGTTCTTGGCTCGCCCGGTTAGGCGCTGTCAGCCTGTCGTTGATCGCTATTAGAGGATAGTGCAATGCAACCTCAACACCGTGTATTTACCTCCCGGACTGTGTGAGACAGCATCGGGCAACAAAACCCAGTCGCAACAGGGGAATTCGCTAAGCCGCTTGTGGCTTGTGAGTGTGTGTGTCAGGAGCAACCCCCTCTGAAAACTTCCGGTGTTTGCAAGTACCGACGGCTTGGGGGCTGAAATCTTGGGACGGGACGGTAATGTGTGATTCAGGGGTCAAACTTTTTGGTTCTCCTGTTCCGTTGTTGTTTCCATCTCGATGAACACTCCCGCCATGGCGACATCACCACCAATTTCCTTTTCATGTTTTGGCTTCAATGAGTCGGGACCAACGGCAAAAGCATTCACATTCCTTCCTCCAAACGTCCATCGCAATCATATCTCACAAGGCTTTCCTAAAATTACATCCTCCCGGACTCTGGCCGGTTCCAGATGGACTGAGATGAAAGTTCCAGATCACGCTATGCGCCTGTCTCCGATCGCCCCGTCTTACGTCCACCCAATTACCCGAACATCTTGCCTGCCCCCATAAGTGTAGTGTATAAGCCAGCCATCGTACTATGGTATACGTGCTGATGGCGGCCGAACCAGTGCTGTAGGTCAGCAATAAGGTCAAAATTATATGCAACTATTGATCGATTCACAGAAAAGATGACGACGCAAAATCACGAAAAGCAATGAGAGCCGTTGTCGTTGTCCTTCAATATTGAACCCCCTCCTCCCCTCCGCTCAACGCCTCTGTGTAACAACAGGCTGGGGCAGCTAGGGCAAGCCACGCAAGCCCATTGTTCCCATCGTAGCCCGTATTCACCCCTCTTGCGGCCTTGCCCCTCCTGAAATCCCTTGGACGACTGGATCACTTCCACTGGATGCTTCCCCTGGGCCATGGCTGTTGTTCCCCTCCACGCCCTCCGCGCCCTCCAGCTGCATGTCCACGTTGACGCCCACTTCGACGCCCACTCCGGAGAGCCCCCATCCTGTATCCGCTATTTTCCTCTCTCGCTCTCTTGAGCTTTGACATCCTAGCAGTAGCCCCAGCACCCCTAGCTTCTCCCCAGACAACCCAACCCTCGCTCGCATGGAATTTTAGGATATTCAAACTTGGCACTTTCAGTAGTAGTTTTCTATGCACGTACCCTACAATCTCAGCCCCCGAAAGATTGCTTGCATGATAAGACACCGAGAACGAGCTGGACCTTTTTTTTTCTTTTCGAACTGCCCCCAGGACAGGACCACAAGAAATTTCAGCTCGTCTGTATCTTCCAGATCGAGAAAAAGGCCGAATCGAACTGCCATGATCCACGACACCTTTTGGAGCGTTCGATAATCTAACCGGATCCAGCTGAAAACTAAGAGGCTGACTGCTTGAACAGGTCAGGCAGCGTTGTTGTTCGCCGTATCATCCAAGACTCCAAGAACTCGGCCTCTCGGCTCCTCCTTTAGCACCTAGCATGACTCTCTCTCTCTAGCTAGCTAGCTAGCTAGCATCGGATTCGGGTCAGAGGCTGCAAGGTATCATCAGACCATCCATTCGGATATCCCTATTTTAGTCAGGAACAAGGATACACTCCATAGTAAAAAACCGACCCAACGACATGGTAGCCTGCTTGCCGCCATGCTAGCACCATGCTGCCCATGCCCATTTTGCCATGCCGGGAGTGTGTGATAATGGGCGCCAATGTTCGTGAGCGAGGCAAGGCGTGTGTGTGAGTGGGCTCCTTTTTCGGCAATCTTCTCCATCCCATCCCTATACGATACACCATCAATCAAAGGGCCAAGTCAGACACACACACACACACAAAGACCCAAACAGACACAAGGATATAGAAAGTAACAAACCTTGTCGATGTGTTCCGTCAAACTATATTGTGCCTCTCATTCCCACTTCCTTCCATGAGGTGAGACTCTCTCACCAGCATCACCGCCGTCCCTTCCACTCGTTTCTTTCACTACATACTGTCGTGCTCTTCCTCACCAGAGCACACAGTTTGGTCGTGGGTTCTACGGCATAACAAAGCTTGATTACACCACCACACATACTTTGTGAATTCTTGTAGTTGTATGCATTGCACGTGCAAAACAACACTTTAATTCACAATATGTTCTCCTTTTCCAGGAACGCAGCTTGGAGCTGCCTCTTGGTGGCCCTGCACCTCACCCTCGCATTGGCCGCCAAGTCGCTCACCAACACCGTCCTCATCCTCGCCCGCGACACCTACTCGGGCACTTCGGCTGCCGAAGGCCTGAAGGGCTATGGCATCCCCTACCAGATCATTCTCGTGCCCCAGGCCGGCATCACCCTCCCCGTTCTGACCACCGGCACGGAAAAGGGCAACTACGGCGGCATCATCGTCGTCGGCGAGGTCTCGTACCAGTACACCGACGGCTGGCGCTCCGCCATCACCGCCGCCCAATGGGAAACCATCTACACCTACCAGACCACCTTCGGCGTCCGCATGGTCCGCCTCGACGTCTTCCCCAGCACGGACTTGGGCGTCGACTTGGCTGTCGCCGGTGCCGGCTGCTGCAACACGGGCGTCGAGCAGCTCGTCGCCTTCTCTGACACCTCGGACTTCCCCACCGCCAACGTCAAGACCGGCGCCGGCGTGAGCACCCAGGGTCTCTGGCATTACCCGGCCAAGATCGTCAACTCGACCATCGCCAAGACCATTGCCACCTTTGCTCCTTCTTCCGATGGCACCTTCACCACCACCACCACCGCGGCCATCATCAACACCTTTGGCACTCGCCAGCAGATGGTATGGTTCACCTCGTGGGCCACCGACTGGGCCTTGGCTTCCAACTACCTCCAGCACGGCTTCATCCACTGGATGACCCGCGGTCTGTTCGTCGGCAAGCGCAAGATCTATCTGTCCACCCAGGTCGACGACATGGGCCTCGAGACCGAGATCTACTACCCTGCCGGCAACAACTTCCGCATCCGCATCTCCGATCTCGAGACGCACGCCGCCTGGCAGACCAACATCAACACGCGTCTGCCCGCGGGCTCGCACTACTTCATCGAGATGGGCCACAACGGCAACGGTGACTTCATCGAGGGCATCCCCAAGGCCACAAGCTCCAGCATGTGCGTGCCGGACGAGGCCGTCGACTACGACTCCCCTCCCGACACGCCGCTGGACTTCAAGAAGCCGCTCGGCACGGGCATCACGCTCTGGAAGTCCACCTACGTGAACTACACCTGGTCCCTGCAGTGCGCTCTTTTGGACGACATCACCACGTGGTTCTACAACCACCTCAACACCTTCGCCTCGGTCTCGCACACCTTCTCGCACGAGGAGCTCAACAACGCCACCTACAGCGACGCCAACAAGGAGATCTACTTCAACCAGGCCTGGCTCAACCAGATCGGCTTCGGCACCTCGTCCATGTTCTCCCCGGCCGGTCTGATCCCGCCCGCCATCACCGGTCTGCTCAACGGCGACGCCATCAAGGCCTTCCTTGACAACGGCATCCGCTACGTCGTCGGCGACAACACGCGCCCCATCCTGCGCAACCCCGAGAGCTCCTTCTGGCCCGCCATCACCAACGTCGCCACCAACGGCTACGCCGGCCTGACCATCATCCCCCGCTGGGCCACCACCATCTACTACAACTGCGACACTCAGGCGTGCACGCTCCAGGAGTGGATCGACACATCCGCCGGCGCTGCTCCCTTCAGCAACCTGCTTGATGACGCCCGTCGCGTGAACGTTCGTTACCTGATGGGACTTCACCCCGACCCGTACATGTTCCACCAGGCCAACCTACGCAGCGGCGACGTCGACCAGATCACCATCGGTTCCGTCAGCGGCAAGCTTTCTCTTCTTCAGATCTGGGTTGAGACTATCACCCAGGAGATGGTCCGTCTTACCAACTGGCCCATGGTTTCCCTGAAGCACGATGACATCGGCCGTCTCTTTGTTGACCGCATGACTCTTGAGTAAGTTCTCCTCCCTCACCATTGACTTTCATGATGAACATGTTACTGACTCCCACATTAGCAAGTGCAACCCCAACCTCACATACAACTACTCCGCCGACGGCAAGAAGATTATCAGCGTGACCGTCACTGCCGGCACCACCAACGTCTGCTCCGTTCCCATCCCCGTCACCGTGCCCGCTACCGCCACTGGCGTCGCCGCCGTTGACGCTCTTGGCAGCGAGCCCAAGATTTACTGGACTAGCTTGACTGGTTCTCCCGTCACTTTGACGCTCTCTGCTCAGATCAGCATTTAAGGGTAGTGCATGGGTGGTTAAAGTAGGTAAGTAGTAAAGTTTTTTTTTTTTAGGGGGGTTTTGGGGGGGGTAGGGGCGGGGATTTCTTTGGATATACCTAGTTTTTTTTTTGCACAATGATCGGTCGATAGTTTCAAATGAACTTGAACTTGATTGAATGACAGTCAGATGTGTCTTTTGGTGTGCGAATGTCTTTTGTGTGATGAGAAGTATCTGCTCCCAGTTCTTGTCAGTCCACATGTTGAGGTAGATGGTCTCTCCCGGCAAGCCCAAGAAGCTTCAGCTCTCAACATCCCTTCACATACCTGTCTTACCATCACCACCTCTCACTCATCATCAGGCCACTGATCCCTCACCTCCCCACCCTCCACCAACCGCCCCATATTCATCCTCACACTCCACCTCACATACGGCGTCATCTCCTTCTCCCTATTCACAAACCCTCCCCCAGGCGCCGTGATATCCGACGCCGCCCCCCTCCCAAAGTGATGACTGAATAACGGCGGCTGCACCGTGACACACACTGGCCCTTGCCCAGTTCTTCCTCCTCTCATCTCCCCTCCTTTCCCCTTGTCTCTGACATCAACAAACAACCCATCACACCACTCCCCCAAAACCAAATCCCACCCCTTCGTCAACGCCTCCTTTACCCCGAACCGCCACAGCAACTTCCTTGCCCCTTGTTGACTGACAGCATAGGCCTGCGTGCAGATGGTCCCGCTGGAGGGATGGACGACGCGCGTGTGAGGAGGGTAGAGCTCGGCGAGCTGGTCTTGCAGAGCAAAGGGGTGCGCTTTGAGGTGTTGCGGGCTAGGGACCGTGGGGTCGTTGGAGACGGTTACGCGGAGGAGGGAGGTATTACTGTGAGTGGTGAGGACGATGGAAGGCGTGGGAAAGTTGGTGCCGCAGTGGCCTAGCCAGAGGACGTCCCAGTTGGTGCCGTAGGGTGATGAGAAGGGTTGCTTTGAAGGGGAGGGGATGGAGGATACGGGGATGTTGGTGACTTTGTTTAAATCTGTCGGGGTAGAGATTCGGGAATCGGGGTGGGTAAAGAGCTGTGCTGCTCGGGCGAAGATCTGGAGTTGGGACTTAAGACGTATGTCCCAGTCTGCGTCGTCTTCGAGAATCAGGGCACTGGTGAGGTTCTGGTTGACAATGGTGTTGAGAACATTCATGTGCGCTCGCCATGAACCCTTGTTGCCGCGCAAGATCGACTTTTCCCAATCTTCACCTGGCACGACCTTGTCTGGAACATCGGTCCCGGAGACGCCCTTGGCCCATGTGACTTGGAGGTTGGTAAGGGCTGCGGCCAGTGTCATGGCATCTCGACGGTCGGTCCGCTCGGGGAGGTTGATGACGAAGATCTTTTGGAACTGGCAGTGGATCAATGTTAGTACCTTATCTGAGTCGGAATTGAGAATTGGAGAGAAGAGATACGTACTCCCAAAGTGGTGTTCAAGACATCCGATGAAGCTTCGCTGTCAAATTGACTGCCAGCATGTCGAATTGTCGAGACGCCATGCAACCTGAGGGATTGTATGGTAAGGATGACTGCGACAATACAAAAGAAGACAACTGCTGCGGCGCGATGGCTGACGATCATATTGACTCCATTCTCACTGGCGGTTGAAGATGGGCTGGCTTCGTGGTCTTGTTCTTGCCATCGTTTGCAATCAGAGAAAATCCCCAGGCTGTTCAATCACAGGATTTCTTGGACCACAGGGCAGCAACGAGCGGGAACAACGGGCTGAAACCGGATAAAATGCCATCCCGTCTGTTGTACTTTCGTGGAAGGAGCTTCCGTCTTGGTCTCCGGAGTCATCACTGCAATGCTCGATGTCATTTCGGAATGCTCCTTCCATTTTCACGTTGAGTCCATCTGCTCTGGTCATGTATGGGGTACGTATTTCATGCAGTCGCTCCCCGTGCAGTGCAGCTGTAAGCTCGTAATTCTCGAGCGTTATTGGCCAAGGGTGGGCTGACAAAAGGCAGACTGACAGGCAGACGCAGGTCTGGCAACTGCCACTCTGTTCCAAGGTTACAGAGACTTGCATAATGGGATGGAAAGAACGTGCTGCTAATATTAACGAGGGGCATTGGAGGGGCATTCGAGAGTCGATGAATGACAATCGCGACCTGCATTGTGACTTTGCAACTTTTCTTCACAACTCCAGCTTTTATCCAGAAACAGACCGTCGACGCTTTCCAGTCTGTCCAGCATCAAATGCTGAAGAATCCTCTAGCGATGTCAAACAACACCACACTCTGTGCCTTTTCAATGGCGGGTTGGATGGAGGAGATTCTCTCCGCCTCGATTGAGGTTGCATTCTATCTCCAGTCTTCAACTCGACAATGCCACGATTGAATCGCACCCTCACATTGGACGCAATGGTTTGGGTTAACACAGCCCCCAAACCCCTCCTTCTCGTCAACTCATTATATGCCAAACCCCAAATTCCGGCCCATCAGTCTGAACCCAAGCATGGCTCCATCTTTCATCCTCCTTAATCATCGGTACCCATCATGGCAGACCCTCTATCGATTGCAGGCCTGATCACAGGCGTAGTCTCCCTCGGAATCCAGCTGCACAACGATCTAGAGACCTTCATCGACGTCGTCAGGCATCGAGATGAAGATGTTGCCAAACTCGCCCGACATGCGGCGACAATGGCTCAGGCCTTGAACACAATTGAACGGTCTCTCCAGATCAACAACCAGGCAAACAATGGTCTCGTCGATAGTGCCACCATCATACCACTCCTAGATGCATAGCGCCAGGAACTGTCCGTCTTATAACGGGAAGTCGCGTGCCTCACAAAGGCATCAAAAGGCCGGAAGGCCTCAAGTGTGGTGGAATTCGCAAGGCCACAACGCAGAAGCTCAAATATCCAAGACAGCGCGCCAACATCCAGAAACTGGAGGAGGGCTTAGACCAAGCGAACAAAACTCTTCAACTGGCCCTCAAGACATTTGGACTATAAGTCATCTCACACTCATGGCGTCTGTGAGACGTCAAAAGACGTGGTCTGTATCAACGAACGGAATCTGGCTAGATGTTGGAGGCTGGACCAAAACGCTTGCTAATCATTGCCCTTGTGCCAACCTTCAGATCCGAACTAAGCTCCATCAAATCGAATACCGAAGTGATGGTTCATGGCCTCAGCAACATTCGGAAAACCCTTCCAGATGTTGAAGCTCGTGTATCAGAGCTGTCTGGAATTCTGATGTCAACGAGCCAAACAGCCACACAGAGCGTCCAGAAGATCGAAAGAGTGGTAAACCTTGCCATGTCTTCCCATGAAGCCAGCCTTAGACAACTAGGGCAAGCACGATCCAATGAGTTCAGGGAAATCAAGCAGCTGATCCAAGACCTTTCGCGAAAGATAGATGCCAATGCTTCCAACGGTTCAAAGGTGGGTACAATATCCTTTTGTCCCATGGGCGGTCTTTTGCTTACGGAGTGTTTATGCAAAAAATTGAAGTGCACCGGAACACAGCTTGTCTCATTTCGAAGCCAAGCGCACTAAAATCACTTTGCGACGAGTATTCCAATTACCAGTCCACGTCCTGGTGTCCATCTGACACGAAATATTGGTCTGTCTGTACTTTTCGGTGCCGACGAGTTGTAACTCGGAAATCCTTTGATTGGGGCCCTTTCCGACTATTGACGGAATCCAAGACAGACTTTGTTCACCATGAAAGCTGTCAGTGGGCCCAATTAGACACATCCAAACAGTCCAAAGCGATAAGGTTTGTTTATCGTGGGTTTACTCACCTGGTTCGGCACGCTGTGGCTGTCAGCTTTCGCTTGAAGCATGGCGCTGTTGGATTCAGCTTAGGCACATCAATCGACCATTACCCTGTCATAGATGAAAATGCTTACGCGCCTTTTAAGCTTGTTCGCTATGTTGGTCACGCTATGAAGGCTTTAGCAGACGATTCCCACCTGCGGTTCCTGACGAGACAGACGAAGAAACAGGGGATAAGATTTTCAGCTTTGAAGCACAAAGTCTTGGAAGCCTTCAGCATGCATATATCGCATGCTTGTTCCAACAAGACCATTCTTCCCAGAGCTGTCAACACCCATGGTCAGACATTATTACATTGTGTTTCCTAGCTTATTGAGGTAAATTAACCTGCGGATGACTTTTTTGCGCTTGTTCATATGACAGAAGCCCTGACTCGAGCTAGGAACACGCATGCCGTTGATTATTAAGTCCTAGTGGGTGGACGCCATCGATGCTTGAGACCGTACATGAGACTCTTGCAAAATTGCTCATGTGCAACGTACTATTTACTATTTACGATAATGACGGACGGTATAAATCCAGTTCCCTTGATATTTCGCAGCGAGAGATAGTTGCACATTTGATAATAGCTAACTGTATCCCAAGCACAGATGAGAGCATCCTAGGTTCCGTGACCTTCATCCTCAGGCTTTTCACCTCTCGCAATATGGATCTCGACCCCCCACCCTCCCCCCCCCCAAACCGGCCTAGAGATCAGTGGAACCCCCTCCCGACCCTGTAATCACATGTATGAAACCT